AGGGAAATATTAAGTGTGTAAGCCAGTTGAAGTATGGAAAAAGAAACAGATGGCCTCTGGCAAATTAGATCATGTAAAATGTTTCAAAGTTTTCAAGAGTCTTTAATAGAATCATGTTTTTATATCTCTGAGTTTGCACATCAATCAAAACCCCAAACAGTGGTTGGTTGTTTTTTTTTTGTTTGTTTCGTTTTGTTTTTTAAATTTTCAATGTCAGGTTTAGAACCCAGAGCTTCACACATGCAAAGCATAATCTGTCACCGAGGCATGCACTTGACCCGAACTTCAGAAATTTATTTCTTTTATTAATGGATTTCTTCCTGTGGTATCACAGTTTACAGGAGTACTGAGATCATTGTTTTATACTTGGAGCAAGAATTTATTTTTTTCCCCTCAACTCTGGTTCTCATTATTCTTCATTTGGACCTACATGGGCTGTCCACTTTATCTGGAGATCAGGCCAGGAGGAGACTGAAAAGTGAATCGAGGGTGTGAGACAGCTCAAAAAACTGGATGCGGGAGGCCCAGGTTCAATCCTCAGCACCCCGTGATCGCCTGAACGCTGGTAGAAGTGACCCCCGAACCCTGATCACCACTGGGCAGAGTCCTGGAGAAGTGGCTAGAAGGAGTGCTTGCAAGTCTCATTAAAGGGACTCTGTGTTAGTCGCTGTAGGCATGCTTGATTTATTGATTCATCCAGCACTTACTGAGTATCTGTTCTGTAATAGCAATAGGAAAGGAATAATTCTTGTCCTATATAGCTTATAGATTCAATGAATAATAGAATTATATTTTTAAAAAGCATCAAGAGTGAGGCAGAGGGCTGTCTGAGTTCCCAAGGAAAGGCATTTCTCCTTGTTGGTTTCAGCATGAAGTATGGGTAGAATTCATCAGGACAAGAGGAATGGGAAAACATTGCAGGAAAACATGAGTGGGTTGAAGGTAAACGTTCAGAGTGGGTTTGAGAACAGTGTCCTCCGACGTCTGCAGTGATTTCCATCAGCTGCATCAGCAGCAGCTGAACTGGAGGGTTAATGGGATCTATCACAAGAGAGTCGTAACCATCCTATGAAAAGATTTGGGATAATATAAGAAGTAGTTGGGAGCTGTTGACTTTATAGAACAAAGAAGAAATAACCAGACCACAACCACAGAAGAAAATTGCCTCCAAGGGTGACATATGTGCTTTGGAATATCATGAATGGTGGCAGGAAGACCGTATCGGAGATTATTATCATAGTGGGGTGACCAAGCCCAGCTGATTAATGCAGCATGATGATCAACAGATTTTGTTAAGGAGGGGGAGGGAGAGTGAGGATGGCTGATGCTTTAAATCTGATTCACAAACTGATGATCGCATCGTTGGCTGGAGAGGTAAGAGGAAGAGAAATTGGCCATCTGAGCATATGAGGCTTTGAGTGTGTTGATTAACTTGATAATACTAATAATTTTTAACGTTATTGATCAAGTTTCTGTGATTTGCAATAGTATTAATAATAGTATTAATAACAGATCTATAATAGTATTAATAATAGTATTAATAACAGGTTTCCCATGTACCTGATTCCAACCCACACCGATCCCCGCACCATCTTCCTCCCTGAATCCCAATGCCCCTCCCTTCCCAGTCTCTTACCCCAACACCTCAGTGGTGTGGACTACGTCCTCCATTGGATTGCCTTTGCCCCTTCATGTTCTTTTGTTGTGTATCTTTAAGTCTCACAAATGAAAGAGATCGTTCTGGATAATACTGGTAGTATTAATTATTGATAGAAGGGTGGGTGTTTGCCTTGCACACAGCCAGCCCGGCCAAGCTGGGTTCGATCCCTCCGCTCCTCTCGGAGAGCCCTGCAAACATTCGAGAGTATCTCGTCCGCACGGCAAAGCCTGGCAAGCTCCCCGTGACATATTCGATATGCCAAACACAGTAACAACAAAGTCTCACAATGGAGATGTTACTGGGGCCGCTTGAGCAAATCAATGAACAACGGGAGAACAGTGACAGTGACAATATGCCAAACACAGTAACAAGTCTCACAATGGAGATGTTACTGGGCCCGCTCGAGCAAATCGATGAACAACGGGAGGACAGTGACAGAGGGGTGGGTGTTGAAATGACTGGGAAAGGCAGGTAATTATTGACTGGTTGTGTTAGATGATTTGGAAAAAAAGTAACCTTGGGTATTCCCGGTATGCATTACAACATCGCAGAGGGATATTGAAAGGAAGAGCATCGATCTGTGTGTGCATGTGGAATCAGTCAGATGTTAAATGATTGCTCAGGACAAGACTGAGCGTTCCTCTGTTAGCCCTCACCCCCACATGTAGAGTCACTTGGCGTTCAGCTAAATGGCTCTTGTGCGTTTATTTTTTCTTTATTTTGAACACTTGTCTCTTAAACTCTGCGGTGCCGATGTGTTATAACATTCAAGAAAGACAAAATATTCTTTTATTTTGTCATGCAGATTTCACTTGCTGGAAAATATTTTTTTATTTTGTTGGGGGGGTCACACCCCGTGTTGCTCAGAGATTACTCCTGGCTCTGTGCTCAGGAATCACTCCTGGTGGGGTTTAGGAGACCAAATGTGGTGCGAGGGATTGAACCTGAGTTGGATAAACTCAAGGCTAGCTACCTTACCCACACGGTTCTATCTCTCTGGCCCTAACAATATTTGTATCTTAAAAAAAAAGAGTTTGAAAGAGGAATCACTTAAATGAGAATCAGCTTCCAAAGAAAACGAACCTAGTATCAGTTCTGCCTCTGTTGTCTAAGATGAATTTTAACGAATAGAATTTGCCCATCAAGCCTAAAAAGGAGACGCCAGAATGCACAATAGTGATTTTCTAACTCAAGCAATCTAGCATGGTGTAGAGGTCACCGCCTTTTGCAAAAGCAAACAATTAGGCAAGTACACAGAACTCAGTTCTCATTCAATTACAGGAGACCCAAATGAGAATTTCCAGATTTAGAACACAAACGCGATGTAATGATCGTTTCTCTTTAAGTTTGGGAATTGAGGCAATTTCCACTGTTTCCGAGGGTTAATTTCAGTTACTCATCAAGTCTGTCACGATGCCAAAACATTAATTTGAGGATGAGTAATCCACTTTCAGATATGGTAGAGAATTCGGTCTGTTAAATGCTCTCATTCACAGGTACAGCAAAAGAAAGTGGACACAGTGGGACTCAGCGCTCTAAATTCAGAACTGTGGGCGATCTGAGGAGAAAATTCTGGGCAAACTACAAGGAAGGAGGTGGGGTACTTTGACGCCCTACACACCCTCACCCCGTTTCTGAACGTGCAGACGTGCGCTCTGCCCTCCGTTACCATAAGTGATAATGTGGGTTTAGTTGTGACTCTTCTCCCCCTTGAAAAAAATCTTTTTTTTTTTTGAAGTAAAACAAATTTTATTTGGAGGTTTTGAAGGAGAGGAGGGAGAGAAAGTGGAAGAAGGGGCTTTAAGAGAGAAGCCGGGTTTCTCCAAGGGCAGAGAGGGCCCCGACACACACCCCAGCATTCGACAGGAAAGCATGAAAGGCCACATCTCAAGAGGGAAGATGCGGGCGACGCATGTGCTCGGGCACCACATGGGCTCAGTCATGTAGGCACAAGCAGCACATGGACTGGGGCAACATATGTGCCTTGAAAGAAATCTTACAAAAACCTATTGCTACTATTATTGCTCTTGCAATATATGGAATCTGTGGTCTAGCAATCTTACTCCTAAAAAAAGTAACTCTTTGGTTTTCCATATCAAAGAAGAAACTGCTGGGGCTCAGGGCAGACAGTACAGGGGTTAAGATGCACATCTTGCATGCTGCAGACCCGGGTTCAATTCCCGGCACCCCATATGGTCACCCCTCCAGGAGTAATCCCTGAGCACAGAGCCAGGAGTAAGCCCTGAAACACACCTGCTGTGGCTATATATACAAAAGGAGGAACTGCTAGAATAAGCCAAGAATTCACAGGCAACGAGCCGACCAAATGGAAAAGTTGATTTGATGTTACCAGGACAAAGTAAGTGCCTAAAAAAAAAAAAAACCAAGTTGTTGGGGGCTGGAGTGATAGTACAGCGGGTAGGGTGTTTGCCTTGCACGCAGCCGACTTAGGTTCGATTCCCAGCATCCCACATGGTCCCCAGAGCACCACCAGGAGCAATTCCTGAGTGCAGAGCCAGGAGTAACCCCTGTGCATCACCAGGTGTGACCCAAAAAGAAAAAAAAAAAGAAAGAAAAGAAAAAAGAAAACAAGTTGTTGTTTGTATAGAAATAATGAGTAGGTAGAGAAAGAATCTTACAAAGATAAAGGCAGAAGTGATTCTTCCAAGGCAGTTAGTTGCGTTTGTGCGAACTTGGGCCATCCTGAGACACATCCATGTTCTCCCTGAAGCGAACCAGAGTTCTATGCTTGGGGTGATATCACCAGTGATCAGGAGTCCCCGCAGGGTAAACAAATATTGGCAGGAAACCAGAGAGGGTAGGGCCAGGGTCTGGCTGTGCGTCTTCCTTCTCGGAGGTAGCCTGCCTTTCAATGTCTCTGCTTTGTTTTTTTGTTTGTTTAGATTTATTTTTCAAAGGAGGAAGGGGGAACGGCATAACCTTCTTTGCAGAACCAGCGTCTCTCCTTAACTAATGGATTTCCTCCTTGGCAGCCTTTGTCTGTTAGAGAAGTAAGGGAATCCTGGCTCCCGCTGCAGTTATTGGTAGCGTTTCCCCAGAGAGACACACTCCTCTGCAGAACTGCTAATCCAACTGAGAAGCAGAAGCCGGAGGAGGAGGAAGAGGTGGTGGTGGTGGAGGAGGAGGAGGAGGAGCAGGAGGAGAAGGAGGAGGAGGAGGAGGAGGAGGAGGAGGAGGAGGAGGAGGAGCAGGAGGAGGAGCAGCAGCAGGAGGAGGAGGAACAGCAAAATAATCAGAGCCTTGAAGCCATGCCCCAGCTGCTCCTGTGATTGGCGGCTGCCTCAGCTGCTCGCCTGGAACAAAAGGTCAAAGTGGACTGCAGTGCGAGAGGAGGCGGCCGCCGGGAGCTCATCGCACAGCAGAGTTGCTCGAGAAGTTTGGAAACTGAGCAGCAGCGGAGCCTCAGACGAACTGCAGAGCCAGTGGCTTCTCCAGCTGGGAGGGGAGGCCCCAGGCCCCGAGCCCAGCCTGGCCCCTGTCAAGAAGGTCGCTGTGCAGACGGGCCCCCCGCGGCGTGGCTTGGCGTGTGTGGGACTCCCTTGCAAATCCATGTACCAGAATGGCTTGTGAAATTATGCCTCTGCAAAGGTAGTGTTTCTGTTTTTGGTTTTTTTTTCCCTCCCGACTCTTTGGTATTCTGCTCTGTGTTTTCTCAGGAGCTCTCAGCCGTGTAAGTTGGCCAGTCCTTGGTCTTTTTCACTGCTGTGCTGCCAGCCACAGTCCCTGTCCTTCCCTAAGACCAGAAAAGTCAGAAATATTCTGTTGCTGCCTTCACTCAGCGCACGGCTCCGCTTCCACTGGTCAATGCAGTTACTCTTCCAACGGAATGTGAATGTCAGAAAGTACCTTTGCCATCTGTAGGAAGACAGAGACTGAAGACTGGATGGAGGCGTTAGTAAGAAAACCAAATGTTCGTTGTGTCTCCCCGCGAAGGGCCTTCTGGAGTTCGGGGCTCAGAAAGCCTCTTCCAGTCAGTGAGTGAGGATGGAACCCTAAGTGGACATAAACCTTAGGGAAGCTCTCTCCCCACATGCCATTCTCCAGAGCTTGGTCACACAACCCATCCCTTAGGGGTGGGAAACGGCCCTGTGAGATTGCTTAGGAACAAGGTTGGACTTGGTTGGGGTGTTGGGGAGGGATGCTGAGTTTGGTTTTTGTTGGGGTGGGGATTTTTGTTTGTTTGCTTGGTTGGTTGGTTGTTTGGTTGGGGGCCACACCCAGCAATACCCAAGGGTTCACTTGTCACTCCGCACTCAGAGGTCACTCCTGGTGGTGGTGGGGACCTCTCGTGGTGTTGGGGATCAAAGTCAGGTCCCCTCCCCAGGCCAGCAAGGCAAGCTCCCCGCCTACTGTCCTGTCGCTCCAGCCCCTGTGACTTTATTGTTACTGACTGAGATAGGAATTGTGGAGGGTGAGGAGAGGGATTGAGGCAAAGCAGAGGAGTTTAATATAGAAAGGGGGGCTGTCTTCCCCCCAAAAAACATGCCGTTGCAGACCTCATTGGCGCAGAATGTCTCTGGGACTCCTTGACACGAGAAGAGTCCATCCTGCCTGGTCGTAACAGGGAAACTGAGGCATGGAGGAAGTCTCGGAGGAAGTTACCCAATGTAGGGGGGTTGTTTTGGAGCCAGCCAGCCGGCAGTGTTCAGGGGTTACTCTCGGCTCAGTGCTCAGGGTGTTTCCCCGCACAGCGCTTGGCAGTGCTTCGTTTAAAACTTCTCTCGTTGGAGTGGGGAGATGGCACAGCGGGAAGGCGCCTGCCTGCCTTGCACGGGGAGGACCCAGGTTCAACTCCCAGCACTGCACACCAGCAGGACTGAGCCCCGAGCACAGAGCCGAGAGCCCTGGCCACGACATCCCAAGGCAAATAAGCAAAAAATGTCTTTAGTCAATCCCGTTCTCTCTTTTAAACTTCAGCCGCTGCTCGTGGGGGCACTGGGTCCCACCCGAATACTTCCTTTAGCGCACTTGCACCCTCTGTTGTCACTTGCTGCTAATTCAAATCAAAGAATGTAATTTGTCTGACTCATCTCGATGAAGATAAATTGCATCTTTCAGAACCCTGTCACCCGTATTTCAGTGAATGCTCATATTTTGACAGTGGAAACAGGCGGACCAATGTTTCTTTTCGTGCAAGATGGGCCTTCCAGGTATCCTGTGAGATAACCTGCTTTTCTGCCGCTGGGCCAACAACTGCACTGTAATGAGACCCCTTGGCTAGATCCCAAGAATTCCCTCACGAAAAATGAATAACCCAGAAGCAGGAAGTGCTTTGAGGATACACCGAGTATCCAATTAACTTAGCAAGAAGGTCCATAGATGCTTCTTGCTGGAAAAAAAAGCAATGTAGTTGATACATTTGAAGTCTTGATTTGGTTTCTAACTTGTATAGTTAAAGGTGTGTTTTATTTTTTCCCAAGAACCTTATCATTTCTTGCCTATCTTGAATTTTACTGTAGATTAAAGTATCAGCTATTGCTGAACTCTGTAGAAAGTGCTGGATGATGTAAGAACTAAAAAGAAGATAGATTTTCATACTTAAGACACTGTTTGGGGGGAATTCACTCAAGAACTGAAATAAAATCAGTGTGATTTCCTCTAGACATTATTTCGCAGGGGCTGGAGAGATAGTACAGCAGGTAGGGTGCTTGCCTTGCATGTGTTTGCTCTGGTTCCATTCTTAGCACCCTATGTGTTCCCCCGAACCCACAGCCAGGAATGAACCCTGAGCGCAGAGTCAGCCGATGCTTCTCCATATAGGTGCATGAGGGTTACTTGGGGAACTTATTTTGAAAGCTAAGTTTTCCTGATACCCTCCTTGGCTAGAGTTACTGAATCTGAGTCTGATGTGGCAGGAAACTGCCTGCATCTTAACAGTTTTCTTACAAGCAAATCTGATTTTTTTAAATAGTCCACACACTGCAGGAAACCCTGACCTAGCCCTAGTGGATGCTGTCAGTGTGTATAAAGTCCTGGACAGCGGGTGTAAGTGAGACTCACTCTACAGCTCAACATCCGCAAATAGCACATTTAGCGCCGTGACCTTACTTGATACTCTCATTTACTGGTATCAGTGTTACCTCTTACGACAAAATATATTTCGCAGGTTGTTTAACATTTTCTTTGTGACCAACAGCACTGATATGAAAGTAATTAATACACACGTTCTTGCCCAAGAGGTCACATGTCAGTGAGTGCACAATTACAGTGCATGTGTAATCCTACAGTAATAGAATGTATGATTCGCATAATAATAGCGTTGTGCCTACAAGATTAATGTCAGTCGATGTTTTATATAACCTCAGATAACTTTTTGATCTCACGAGAGTCTATGTTTGTATCCTACTTAACTTTCAATGTCCATAAATGACTATTTAGCCTTTTTTTTAACCATATTGTGAAAGTATGTAGGAGACAAATTTGTTATGAGTAATTTACAAGTAAGATGAAACTAATAGATGAGATTATATATCAGGTAGCATGGTCCTCCCATTGTTCATCGATTTGCTCGAGCGGGCCCAGTAACGTCTCCGTCGTGAGACTTGTTGTTACTGTGTTTGGCATATCGAATACGTCACGGGGAGCTTGCCAGGCTCTGCCGGGCGGGCGAGATACTCTCGGTAGCCTGCCGGGCTCTCCGAGAGGGGCAGAGAAATCGAACCCGGCTAGGCCAGGCTGGCTGCGTGCAAGGCAAACACCCTACCGCTGTGCTATTATACATCAAGACTGAAAAAATAAATAAATTTTGTTTCCTTTAATGCATTTTGTTATCTGTTTATCGCTGAATGTAATTTCAAAACTTTCCAGGACTTGAATTGGCTGTTTTCAAACTCATAATCCTTAGAAAATTTGTAGAGTCTGAACATTAAAAACTTAGTTTTTGCAGTATAACCCAAATGACTTGAATATAGGACCAATTTACATATCTCTTAAGGTGATTAAATTGTCCCAGTTATTTATGTAAGCTCTAAAATATTGACTTGTAATATTTATATTTAGCAAAAATAGTAAAGAATTTCTCTGCTTAGTGATAAAACTCAACCCATTGTATAACTATATATAGATATTCCTTCCATATTCATATGTGATTTCTTGCCATCTGAAAAAGTTGCCCCATCTAAATAAAATCATGTTATAAATAAGTTGAATTAGGAATTGAAACTTTCTTTCCGCAGATGATTAAGTTCCCTGTTGTCACTGATGACACCGTATGTTCTAGCATATTCCAGGCGTGTATCTTTGACTATCTGCATGTTTCGTGTTTCATTTGGTATTTTTTTTTTCCCCTGAAAATTTGCACTTCCCTTCGCTCTCACTCCATTGGCACTCCCGCCCGTTCCCCTGGTCCACATCCTGTGGTTCCCTCAGTTTGTTTCCAAAGTGGAAAGCTGAGATTAATAATAACTTTATACTTCTCCTTTTTCCTTTCTTTTCTCCTTTTCCCTTCATTTAGCCAGATACTCAGTATATCTTTTTTTTTTTTTAAATATACGCCCGGCAAGCTACCGAGGGTATCTCGCGCACGGCAAAGCCTGGCAAGCTCCCCGGGACGTATTCGATACGCCAAACACAGTAACAACAAAAGTTTCCAGTGGAGACATTACTGGGCCCGCTCGAGCAACTCGATGAACAACGGGAGGACAGTGACAGTGACAGATATTATATTTTAGTGAATCACCATGGGGTACAGTTACAGACTTAACAAACTTTCATGCTTGCGTTTCAGTCATACAATGTTCTAGTACCCATCCCTCCACCAGTGCCCATTCTCCACCACCACTGATCCCAGTATCCCTCCTGCCACCCCCACCCCATCCTCCCCACCCCACCCCACCCCGCCTCTGTGGCAGGGCATTCCCTTTCTCTCTCTCTCTCTCTCTCTCTCTCTCTCTCTCTCTCTCTCTCTCTCTCTCTCTCTCCCCTTAAGCGTATTGTGGTTTGCAATCGAGGTACTGAATGGCCGTCCTTCAGTCTGTAGTCTACCTTCAGCCTGCATCTCCCATCCGGGGCGGACCCTCCAAGCACCCCCTACTTGGTGGTCCATTCTCTATGTGAGCTGCCTTTTCCCCCCAGCATACTCGGTATATCTTACTGAGTCTTTCGGCAACGTGGGTGTTAAGTGGGTTTTTGGAGACTGACTTTAAAGCAAGTTGCAGTGGCTTTGAAAAGACTTACCATCTTGACACAAAGTGACGGTCCAGAGTTGGAAAATCGCACTCACATTCACACATAATGACAAAGTCACCTGTACTTTCCAAGTATTGGTTTGAGAATAGCCTTTTGGAAAAGGGTCGCCTGGGGGTTGGCGGGGGGTGGGGGTGGGGGATTGGGGGGGATGCAGTGAAGTCACTGCCTGATGATGGCCCTCCTTGCACACCTTCCCGGTGGTGTTAGGGGGCCCCCTACTGTTGGCCCTGCTCTCCCTCATTCCTCCCGACTTGTTGGCCCTTTGATCGCACTTCCTCTCCCCTGCAGACTCCCCTACAGTCTCTTAAGAGGCCTTTAAAATCGCTTTTCTTCACCCCTGCGCTGGGTGGTCTGGGCTGTGGGGTCACCTGCCCTGAGTGGCCGTCCCCACCACCACCCAT